TTATTCCCATGGAAAGTTCAACTAATATTTTATAATTTATTTTATTTATTTATTTATAAAGAGGCTGGCAGTACCAGAGCAAAGGATTTCAGGGTATGTCGCGTGTGGGGATGGTTAACAGGTAAAGGGGGAAAACCCCAAAATGTACCTGTCTGGTGGTGGGTGGAGGCCGGGAAGCAGGGAGGGGCGAGTGTCTTCCCGCAGCCGGGGCTGGAGAGGCACAAAGCCAGAGGAGGTTCGGAATATGGGTCCAGTGCTGCGAAGCCAAGTGCTGGCTGGGGCCGTGACCTCACCCATGTTACTTGGAACAATTTAGATCTATGGAGCTGGCAGGATTTTTTAATCAATCGTATCAGCACTTTCAGTGTAATAAGGCGGCATGGCTGTAAGTCTGTCCTGTCACACTCCGACATCCCTGTATTTTATGAGGTGCCAGGTAGCAGCGAATAGGCCGGCAAAGGCAGCTGGGTGTAGCCATGCCTATTTCCTAGGCTGCTTCCCTTTCTGGGAAACCCTCGGCCTCCAGTCGGGTTTATTCATGCCTCAGAAAATCCCTGAGAAGAGCCAGATGGCAACAAACAGGTTTCCTAAAATGCGACGGGAAAGGCCGTTAACAATCAGCTGATGTTTTACCTTTAGCGTCAATGTACGTTGGAGCCATTCCTGCCCGTAGGGAGATTGTCTTGGTGACGTGATCAAATGTAGCACTCCTTTAGAAACAAGCAGCACTGCCTTGTCTTTTGCTGAATTCTGTGCGTGTTTGATTAAGTGAGTGAGATGTGGCTTGGGCCTTATAATAAATGTAAGCATTAATGGGTTAGCAGTCTTTAAAGGATCAGCAAAGAAATGTATGTGAATGTAATAGCAAGTATTTCAGAAGAATGTGATGCTGTTACTTTCTGTCAAGCGTCTCTGTTTGTGATTTACCTGTAAAGATTACAGTTACCTTGGAAATGAGGGAAAAGCACTACCCATTTCACTGTGAAAGCAACCTTTCACCTCTAAAATAAAAATTTGAAATAGGAGTCAGGACAACAGTTTTAATCCTTGTGAGGCAGTAATGGACTCAGAAAAATGTCTGCGATATGTGCCCCGTGTCAGTGTGACACCTGGGTGCATGCCAGCCTGTCTTATCATACACTTGATTTCTGTGGGGTGGGAACCTGCAGCATGTGGGCCAGCAAGGAGCTATTGTGTGCTCCAGCCAGGTCCCATGAGGGTGTGACCCGGAGCCTGAGGTCTGTGGCATGCCACAAAGTCTGTGGCTTTTCATGGTTGCAGTGGCTCTACCAGGGCTTTCAGAGTCTCCTTTCAGCTGCTTACCCTGCCTTTTCTGCCACATAGCTGCAGATGGTCAGCTCTCCTGCCTTGCCAGGTTCAACAGCTGCCATTAAGACATGGTCTGTTTGCTTTTTCTCACTCAATACCACAAAATTAAGAGGCTTGTAGAAAACTTTGCATCTTCTCTGGGCTTCAATATTGTTGTTCCAAAGTTTAATTACTATTTCTCATCGAATAGTATCTTCCTAAAAAAAGATTTTCCTTTCTGTAGTGCTTCTGGATACCAACCTGTCATTCTCTATCAGTATAATCTTTTATAGTGATTAATTACCCATATGTTTTTATTCTATTGATTTTTTTTCCTATGACATGCTTGTGTAAAATGTTGCTGCTTCTGATTGTAGATTAGTTTATTTATAAATAATATTTTTTTTTCTGTAACAAATGTTATCATTATTATTAAGCCCTAAAAGAATGACTTAGGGAAAATACTGTATCCTGTGATCTTTTCAACCTATAATTGTCTTTGTTATTTCATTCTGAATACCACAATTTTTTAAATTACTTCACTATAACTATAGCAAAATATTACATCAATGAAATGGCTTTTGATCCCAGAAAGGCTAATATATAAAATATTGGCTAGTCTGATGTTGATCATTCAGTATCAAGTTGGTTCATATCTAACATTTATTTCCCATAAAATACATTTCCTTTCACTAAATGTAGCAAATAGTTAAATTCTTTCCCCCCCCTATTACACTCTGTTTTCCCATCCCTATTAAAACTTTGTGCCTTGAGGCCTGCCAGCAGGGCATGCAATACCTACATTAAACCAAATTTAAAAGTAAGGGTGCTCCTGCTGCTAACGTCCTCAGATCACAGACATGCAAAATGAAGGAACTGGCAGCTGAAACTTTAATGGTAGGAAGTGTAGACTGAATACTTGGGGAAAAAACACAGTAGCTCTATATGACAAAAAAGTCCTATTAGCATTTATGTACTTCAAAACGATGAGCTAGACAATTCTACATAACTGTGGGGCTTTCAGCTTTTGTTTTAAGTAAAACCCTGTGTTGTAAGTACAGCATTACTTACATTTTTTATTCAAAGGATTGTTACTATTACTGTTATGTATTATTTTGAACATTAATACAGTGCCTGTTGTTGCATTGCACACTGCATGTTCAGTCATTTCTCCACCTTATGTATTAACTTAAAATGTCATTAATACTTGGACCTAGATAGCTTAAGGAAGCACAGGGAATCACATGCAAGTAAGGTTCCTTAATCAGTTGTCCCTGTGCAAATCAAAAGCACTTCAATGAAAGAGAGAAAACCATGGGAGTAAGATCACGACCATTCCTATGCATCATGTCCTGTTGAAGTAATGCTGAGGCCTGAAAAGATTTGTGTGGAACTGGTGTCCAGTTTTACACATAATGCACTGGAAACAAAAGAGTTGACTGGAAAGCAGCACAAGAAGGGTAAGAAACTGCATCACTGTGAAGACATTGTTTCAAGTAATGTTGGTTTTGTTTGGTTTTTTTAGTTAAAATGAATGTGTTGCCGCAAGCGATCCTACAGAGCCCAGGGGAGCATCCGAGGTTCATAGAGCAGACGGTTTGCCCCTCATTAGACTTTGCGAGGTATGTTCCTCTTTTCTTTCAGAGTATCATTTTTACTGTCAATAGCTTCAATCAACTATGCTGAGGTGACAAATTATGTTTGCTTTTTTGCAATATTTAAAACTGCAAAAATCAGAGGCAAGGAAATTCTCTCTTAGGAAAGTTTCATAATTAAAAGGAAAAAAATTAAATAGGAAATGTGTTCTGTTTAACGTAGATATTTCATCCTAATATTTCAAAACCCCTTCAAGAGCCGTAGGAAGTTATTTACATTTAGCATTTATATGAATGTAGGTCATCGAAAATGTACTTATTTGTATGAAAAAACAAGACTTTTGTTCATTCAGGCACAAAACAATTTCACATCTCTCAAAATATAATGAATAAAACTGGCTTGAAAAACATTACCCTGTACTAAATAGCTGAGAGTATTAACAGTGCTGTAATACTCTCAAGCCATCTTCTTGTACATGCCTGTGCGGCTTTTCTTTCCATCGCACTCATTTCTCCTCCTAGTTACTTGTATCCATACATTTTTGTCCCCCTCTGCGAGTACTGATCTCTCAGTTACTAGTCTACCTCACAGTGCTCTTTTTCCTGGAACTGCCTGCATTTGAGAAAGTATTGTGGTTATTTTCTTCTTCCAATCCTAGCATTCCCTTTAGCCTTTGGCTGAAAGGTCTGTGGCACCTCAGAGTTCAGTATCTGCGTGTCCAGGTTGAAAAGCAATAAGGCTCTAGAAACATGGTAACCTTGGGCCCAGTCTTTCTGACGGGCTCATACTGATAGGTGTCCTCTCACACACTGATAGAATAAGGACATGCAGTGATGTCTTACAATTTATGTATTTATTTTTAATCTTCTGTGGCTGGAGTCGCCTTCATCAGCCATCACTTTTCACTTTTTCCAGTAACTACATTGCTGGAGAGCTCACCCCAGATGTAGGAGGCTTGTTTCTTCCTTTTACAGAGGGATTTTCATGTTCAAGATGATTCTGCAGCAGTCCTATAGAAGTTGCATGTATTTGCAGAAAATAAATATGTGATTCTGTAATGTTCTAGACCATGCTGTAGATGCCTAGCAATTAGAGCAAGACAAGCTCTGCCATTTTCTTTGAAAGGAAGTTTTAAGAAAACTGGAGTTAACAGAATAGGCAGTGGGGATAGAAAGTTATGTGAGAATCAGTTTGGTCCTTTATGCAACTTTGTTCTGTTCTTTGATTAAAAAGCCAGGTGTATTTATCATTAAGTTTATTTCTAGAAAAAAATCAGTAGCTATTTTTTTTCTGTGTAGACTGGTAGTAGAAATAGTTACAGGAGTGCATGGTGTAAATGTTAACTCTGGGATAGGTGTCCATTGGATTAAAATATATTTGTCTTTAATAAGTGAGTGATTTATAATTAAATAGGAGCCAATTTACAGGTGAAGTAGACTTTTTTTTATAAACTATTTATGAAATATAGTGAGTCATAATGGAAACACTGGAGAAGTAAGGCTAAAGCAGTTTGGAAAAAAGCAAGTGACAACTTCTGGAAGAAAAGACACAATGCCTCTTAGCCAATGCCATCTTCACCTCACTTCGCTATTAAGAAACAATGTCTGTTCCAAGTCACAGTCTCAGTTCTTCAAATTAATTACTTTTATTGTTTTAAATTTTCATTGTATATAACAAGCCATTTCAAATAATTGTTATTTGAGCTGATGGAATTTTCTGCTGTGTATTTTTTCCTGTGTATCATCTGTCTGTTTTTTCTGTGTTATTGCTACATTGACATTATTGATAATAACAGCCAGGTTAAGTATTTATTATTTTAGTAACTTAAATTCTTTATGATGGATGACCATATTTGTAGTTGCATCAGTCCAGAACAGGGTATTGCAGAACTCAGGTAAACAGTAATTGGCTTGCAAGTTGTTGCTTTTGTTTTTTTCCCCTTGGCTGTAGTATTCTTTAAGTTAGAGGCTATTACCAATCAGAACTCAGAAATGAACACCTTGACTACAAGCAGGTGACATTTTAAATCCTACAAGATTCTAGGGGCTTTTCCCCTGATTTTTTTTTTTTTTTTATTAAAATACCTTTGAAAAGGTAATGAGAAGGCATTAGGCTGTTCTTTGTTCCAGTTTGGGATGATTTTTAACTGCAGTGTGGATTAAATTGCAGCAATCTGATAGTGATGCCCAGGAGTTTGCTTGCTGTAGTTGGACTGTTTCAGTTTGGGAGTTTGGACTCCCTGCTAGTCCACCCCCTCATATCTGGTGTGTTCTTATGTGCTACTGATGTGCAGAAAGCTCATTTTTGCAGTCTTAAAGTACAAATGTCAGCCAGGATTTTTTGTGTTGTCTACTGAATACTTCATATTTAATTACCCAGAGGTACTATTTTTCAATTTTTCTATTATCTCATATAAACCTGTTGTATCTTGAAGTAAGTTTTAAATCAGTTTAAAATATACGATAATTACCTTATCTTCATTATCCTATTGATATTTTGTGTCTTCCTGAATTGTAACTATTTTGGTGTGAAAATTTTGTATTGATTAAATTTTGGTATTGATTATAACTTAATTTTTATGGCAATATCCATAAGATGTACATTTTGCGTGGTCAGCAGCAACTCATACGGATTGTGTTATGTGCAGCCTGAAAGCATAAGCCTCTGTTGGTGCGTCTCAGTAGTAGTAAATTCTGGAACAAATTTAAATACCCTATTTGTGCCAGAAGTTTTCACTATTACATTGTTTTAAGTACAGACACGTCAAAATATCTCTGCATTGCTTAGCTATTTTGTTTTCATTTAAATGAACTTAATGAAGTGTCTTTGGTATTCTCAGAGCAATAAGGAGAATGATGCTTATATTAGCTAACATTATGAAAAGCATTTACTCTCATCCCTGTAATGAAAGACAGCAGTGTAATACAGACAGAGAAAGAGGAAAGTAATAAATTTATGTGGAACACTAATGCTGAATTTCTTTTATCTTTGAGTGATTAACCAGACAATCTTTATGCCCTTTTAAAGAAGAATAAAAATAAATTCACATTACTTTTTTAAAGATAATATCCTCTACAATCGGGATATCAGAATCTATTTAAATACACTTTATGGTCAGTAAGTGCACACTATCTTTTAAAATTCAAGGCATCTCTTGTGTATCAGAGTGGAGATACAAAGAGATGATGGCTGAAGTGAAAGGTAAAATGATGTACAGCTCAAATTTTAAAATCAGATCCATGCATCCTGAAATTTGCTATTTATTTTACTGCCCTTTGCATTACCCCCTTTAGTGGACCACCTTTTGCAATATGCTTCTCACACTGTGGGAAGCTGAGAGCAGAATTAAAAGTCTGCATTGCACTAAGGAAAACATTTTTAGTTGCGTTTGGGATTTTTTTGGTTCATTTTCTATTTTTTTAATTTTGAAAAAGTTAAATACAAATTAGATTGGACCACTCTGGTCCATACTGGTAACAAAAAAATGTAATGGTTCTGGTTTAGAAAACAGTTTAAATATGGATAGCTGGATCAATTAGTATTGATTTAGCTAATACACAATTTCTTCTAGTTTAGACAGAAATACCAGATAACCAGGTCCTTGGAATCTAAGACCAACTCTGTTTTCTTTCAGAAAAGAGATTTGAAATAGCTACAGACCAAAAAATTAAAAAGATATTTGTATGTGTTTATAGAATGTCTGATATATTACTTTGTCAATATTTCAGTATTTAGCTCTACTTGACAATGCTAATACATTATACATGCTGCAGAAGTCTATGTTAGCACCTCACAGTGTTTCTTTTAATTTTTTTCATTTAAATTTAGGATTCATTTGATCAAAGACAAAGATGGCTTAGATGATTATTTGGCGAAGAATATCAAAGGGTTGTCAAAACAAGAAGCTGCTGCGTAAGTTGGCTTTTTTGAGGCATTTTAACATCCGTACATTTATTGTTTCCTTTGTTTCTACTCATAATAATCATTTAAATTTAAAGTTCCCTAGGCCCTACCCTTTTAGTGGTACTTGGCATTTAAAAATTGAAGTTGATATTAAATAATTATGGTCCATTTCTCCTGATCTTAAATATATCAAAGCATTTAACTCCTTGGTTTTACTAATTTGTGTGTTTACCAAAGTGTTATATCACATTTGTAACATTATTGTTAAGATTGTGTCAGTAATTATATTTTAAATTGTGCTGCTTTGGGGTTTTTTTCTTTTTTTTTTTTCTTTTTTTTTTTTTCTGAGCCTCTGTAATATATCTCCTCTGGGGTGGAAGCTTAGTATACTGACATACATGTTCTTGTAATTTTGAATTATTATTTAGCCAAGCCCAAGTGCTGACTTCTGTGGTGAAGCATTTAATACACCATTAGTTATTTAAAAACCCAATGAATGAAAGAAATCTAGATAAGTTTTGATTTCTAACAGCTGAGGTATTTACATTGAGAAGTTACAGGAGACTACAACTGACTTATTCTTCTGGAGTCTTTTAACAGATCTGGGGTTCAGCACCATCAAAATTAATGAAAGAATTCTAAAAAATCTGAATTGCTGGTTCCTTAAGTGATATTATTTATTTATTTCAATATTTAAATAATAAAAAGATGCATATACAAGGGCTCTAGGCACCTTAACAATTAATATTGCAAGATCACCCTTGCAGCATAAAAACATTCTATCAATCAAACTGGAATTGGACCAGCTAGTTTCTTGCAAAACACACTTCTTTTCTCCTTCCTAGCTTAAGAAAGCACCTGAGAACCTTCCCTAAAAACTTTCAAATGAAAATCTAGAAAATTACCAAATTTGAGTTGAGGGGTAATAACTTTAGCAGTGTCCTAAAATCATACCATGTAATGCTCAGCCAGCAGACACACTTTCCTTTCCTGTGATACATGTCACCTTTATTTTTACAATGGTAATATGGTAAAGCTAGTAAGCGTTATGACTGTTGGTACAGAGATAGTAATGTATCTGCTCTGCTGATCTAGGTTAAAGCCAACTCATACCCGATTTCTTTTATTTGAGTTAAGACTGCACTCAAACCTGTTGGACTGAAGATTAGTTCAATGATGAGACTGGGCAGGACCTTCTCAATATGTCATCCTAGGGTTTGCAACGTTCAATTCGTTCCTTTGTAGGAAAGACTCTGTTATCATGGTCACAGTCTGTGGGAGAGAGCAGCCTGACAGTGACGGGAAAGTGAGTAGGTGAGACAGTGGGAAGGGCCATGTTACTGCTCTGTTAGTGCACATGGTTGATGTGGGACAGTTACCTTTGATCATGCTGTCATACTAATTGTGCTAGGTGTCATAGCTGGTTTAAATATCCCTTGTTTAAAGGGAAGGAAACTTTAAAACAGAAATTGTAAAGTGGTTTTTTAAACAATTTTAAACTTGAATAGAAGAAACCAATCAAAAGGTTGGTCTGTGACTTGGTCACGTTCTGCATTACCTGGACCACCATAAGGGACAGATCCTTCCTGAGCAAATGCTGTGTTGACAGAGGTCCTGTTCCCTGAGTTAAAGGTAGTGTAGTTGCTCTGTGAGGGGGAAGAAGTATCAGCTCTCAGGGAGCAAGCGCAGAAATAAGGACATTCACTTATTGTCACCCTAGTTCCATACCAGGCAGGCAGTGGTGCTATAGCCATTGTGCTACAACGACTGTTGCAGGCTGACTTGCCTTCCCAGTGAGCTGTTTCAGTCTTTAGCCCCAGTGGATTTCCATGGCACACACACCATGCTGGGGACAGAAGTGTTCTCTCTGTGATTACACAGGAAGTCTCTGCTATTTTAGAAAAGCCTTGGGGCTCCAAAGTGGATTTTACAGCTCTGATTTGGTCAGGTCAGCCTTTTACCACTATTAAAAAACAAAACCAAAAAACCCCAACAAACAAACAAACAAGACCAGGCCAAAAAATGCTCCTATATTATTTTTCTTTTTACCTACAAACCCTGAGTCTGGAGTTTTTGGAAAAGGAAACCAGTAAGGAAATCCACAATGAAGCGAGAATTTTATCATCACTTCTGCAGTACCTACAGAAAGGGGGCTGTTTCCTTAGTGGTCTGTAATATGCTGGTTTTTGAAAGTTATCAAAGCGTCTTAGAAGATTAAACTGAAATATCGTATGTATTCTGGTTTATTTCTATGGAGATTTTCTAAGTACCTCTTTTAAAATATTACCTTAATGTTCAGTGTATATAATTATTCTCAGAATTTTATTTTTTTATAATAGCTTAGCAGTTACAAAATTTCTAAAGTATGTAAATGTATAGCTCAATATAAATAGCTGATTGGGGTTTTGATTTATCCAGACTTTTCAGTAGCTGTCACCTCTACCAAATAGATTAGTAAGGTGACTTCATAGATGACCTGTGAAATCTTTTACTCAACAAATAGATGGGGACCTTTTTTCATTGACAGCTTGTCACATTGCCGTTTTCTTTTTCACAACCTTTCACAACCCTGAAATCTTTACTGGGGCTTCCCAATTTGAACATGCACAATTTAGGCTTGGGAATTTTGTGTCATAAGGTGTATTTGACTATTTCTGTGTGAGGCTCTGAAGGGACAGTGGAGGGGCACTGCTGAGAATTAATGTTAGGAAAAATGTCATGGTGGTGTGGGGTTAAGGCAAGGAAGGATGAGGGGCAACTGCTATTACTTGAAAGCTTGCAAAAGACAATTTCAGACGCAGACAATGTGTAGGTGCAGATTCTGCTTTTCTCTTGTATTTCAGTCCTTGACTGCACAGTACTTGGTGCTAGTGACGCACTGCTTCGAGCTGCTTCTGTTTTTCCTGTGTGTAACACTATGAAGACAGAGGGAGACAGGAGAGCTCAAGGCAGCTGAAGAAGGACATAACAGTAAAAACAGAAAGAAGTAAACCACTCATTCCCTTTCATTTTCAGGTTCTAGCAAGATTTTGCTGTTCTTGATATCAGTCTTTGCATATGATCTGTGAACACCTTATGACCCTCTTTGTTGACATTACTCTGGTTGACAACTGGAGAAATGTTGTGTCAACTCATTTACATTTCATTAGGATACTTCTTGACTTTTAAATACTAGAAACTATGGAAAAGGGTAAAGCAGAACCAAAGAAATTTATCCTTTCACAGTAAAAGAAATTTTAAATTAAGGCACTCTGTCCCAAACTCCCTGCTGATATGATGCTTGTGGAAAGGGAGATGGCACAAGTTATTTATTGAGCTAGATGATAAATTTTAAATTTCTTTCACAATATTATTTAAATATGTATTTTTTTCTGTCTGAATAATTCCTAACAATCTTGCTTGCCATGACCAGGATTCAATGTTTATTAAACAACTTTCAAAAAGATATTTTAATACTTAGAGGCACACATTCTTTTTGGTCAAATGAATGATCTCTGAATTTCAGGCCTGAAAAACTTATTATTTAGTGTAATTAGGCAGTGATCGAAAGAGCAGAACTGTGTGGGAAGCAAGTAGTTTGCCTTTCCTAAAGAAACTTCTCTGTGCATTTGTGTAATGTGAAAGGTTTTTCTTGAAAAGGTTAAAAAAAGTTCTAATCAACTTCTGTACATTATGTAGAACTTCATTTTCTAAACTCTGCAAAAGAAAGTTTCATATTTAATGGGAAATCATGAATTATTCCATTTATTATCTACTTCCTCCTTTCAAAGACATGATCTGGATAAAAGGCGGGGTGAATAATTTCAAAAAATACAATACATTTTTAATGGGAAGGTGCAAACTACAGATTCTCATGACTATTAGCAAGTATAGAGGAAACAGAATTTTACTTGCAAAAACTCATCAAACTCTTGCAAAGATAAAATACATGACATACTTTAATAAAGAAGAACACAGTGAGCTGAAGTTTTTCTTTTTTTATGTAACTTGTTGTTTTTACTAAGTTTGGTCTCACAGTTTTCTGGTGCTTTCATTTCTCAATAGTTCAACAATATTTAGTACTGAAGATAATGTGCAAGCAATACACAACTGACTTCTATTTTTAAAACACTCTGTAAAGGTGAAGCATCTCTAACATACAAAAAGAGTCTGAAATAAAGAAAGACAGTCTAATTTGCCTTGGCGTAATCATAACTTCCTAATAATTCTCACAACAAACCCTTCTGAATTGTGTAAAATCCTCTCCTTTCTTTTCCTCTTAATCTCTGTGTGGTTTACTTGTCCTGAGACTGCTGAGTAACTTCTGTTGGGGACTTCAATGAGATACCATAAACAAAAGCAAAAATACTGCGGGATTTGTTCATAGCAATAGTACAATAATACATAGCCTTGTATAGGCTTTTATGATAATTCATATGCTTAAGCAGATGCAGAAAGTAAATAATTATTATTATCTTTTTCTAAAAATAATTTTACACACTGTGAAAGAAACCTGCAGATAAATTTAATGATTTCTCCGGTATTGTGCAAGTCAAATGGAAACGGTTCCAAACCCAGATCGCTCTCAGTTCATTAGGTCAGCTCTGGAAAAAGAGGAAAGTTGAGAAATACTTCATTTTGATAAATAATAGTGCATAAAATGTGGTTGGAATTACTTTTTGTTAATGAACATAATTAATTTCAAAAGAAAAGCAGAAAGATTAATGAAAAGAATGTTTTTTTTTCTGATCTTGCTTGAAATAATCACAGGTGTTTGTGCTCTTGTATGAAGAACATTTTTATAAGGGTAGCACTTTTATCTTTATTTTTAGTGCTTTCTTTGCATTTCTGTTGAGGGATAGAATGTTCTGAAAGTTCATTGTTAAATTTTTATTTCCATTTTCTGGGTTAATGAGGATTCTTAATTATTACAGTACTTACATTCATTTTAAAATACTTTTTCTGTGTCATCCTTTGATGTTTATAATTGATTAATTTTTCATTTTCTGTAGTATTAAAGTGGCAGCGTA